ACGATCTTTGGGTAAATATTAAATTTTTTCGTAACTTTTTAAACGACACAAAAACGATACGAAAAATTATAAATTATAAAGCAAACGATCTCGCGGACCGATTGGATAATCATTTAACTAAAAATACGATCAGCTTTACGTATTTTATCCGAGGACGGATAATCCATACAATAATCGTGGGCTATTAAATGGTTCACATCGTTCATTTTGTACGTGTCTTCCTTCCCCTCCTCCTCACCCCTCTACCCACCGTCCACGCCGTTCCTATACGTTCTCTCTTGCGATAAATGAAAAATTCAACGATAATGAAAGAGCTATGTCGTCGCGCTTCTGACACGATAATGATCGAGTACTGGGGGTAATGAAATATTTTATTAAACGATTGTGCCCGCTCTCTATATTCTAGTCGTTCATTAATAAACGAAATCGAAAATTACCTGGATATTGACGATAATGATGATGCTGATATCTTTCATTATGATCATCATATAGTTTTCGATTCTAATATTAACGATCTAACGAAATACCATTAATTGTATTTTAATACCCGACGTCAAGTTGTTGTCTTAATTTTAATAATACAATTGACGTTTAATATGATTTCAAAAGGGGAACAATATTATATTTATAAAGAATATAAATACACGCGTGCAATTCACACGGGGTGAAAATGAAATCTTTACAAAACTAAACTTCGAGAAAATGAGACGAATGTTTAGGTTTTATATTACAAATACTACATTACATATTATACATATTCAATCAAGTTTTCAATTTCAACAAATGACACGTATGGCTTATGGTAATTAAAGTATGAAATGAATGCTTTGGTGTTCAGAAACTCAATCAAAGGGAACGCTTTATCCGATGCAAAATTTACATTAAAATCATTAGAATATTTTTGTAATCTTTTTGTAAGAATTCGCGATATTTCTGGTTGGACTTCATTAAATTCTCGTGGATGACCAATTGATGTAAATGATTGTTCTCATTTAAGTATCACTTTATCATTTCGTCGAGTATCAAATCGCAACGATTCTAAAGAAGTTTTTACTTCGAAAAACAAAAAAAAAAAAAAAACAGAAAATTCAAATAACATATTAATACATTCGGTTTCGGTGATGTAACATTAGAAATTTTTCTAATTAAAATTATTCAATTCGTATATAGAGATTAGAACGTACGTATTCGCGTGTAACAGTCAAAGCTTTGAATTTACAGAGACATTGTAAAAGCACGTATCTCAGTAGAAGGATCGAAAGCAATAATAACACGAATCCCTTTAAACAGAAGTCAAGTGCAAAGCGTATTACAGATTGTGTTTCTGTTTCTCTGTGTTCTCTCTCTCTCTCTCTCTCTCTCTTTCTCTCTCTCTCTCTCTGTCTCTGTCTCTCTGTCTCTCTTTCTATCCGTGTGTCAGTCCGTCTATCTGTCTGTCTATTTGCTTATCTATTTCTATCTTCCTTTATCCTTTACTCCTTTCCCTTTTGTTTCCAAGTCAAACGATCTTGGCTTTCTAGAGCCGTCAGTTACTGCAAGCTTTAACCTTCGAACGAATCAAAGTTTCCTAGCTCGGGGTATCGAGCCATCTCGAGGTAATCCAGCGTAAATAATGCAGGTCGCTCCCGTAACGTGACTTCCGGACGTGTCGAACGTTCCACGTGCGAAAACTCCTTGGTAGAAAAAGTAGTTGAGCCCTTGGCTAAAAGTTTTCAACAAAAGCCGACCACCACTACCACCAATAAACTTACTGCTACCAACGGCTTTCGGACAGTTCACCTATCGTCACCTATTCCATCCTAACGTATATACACGTATCTATATATTTATAAATATACACATATACAGAAAGAGAAAGAGAGAGAGAAATATAAAGAAAGATCTTTCTTGGAAATTCAACAGTTAAAAATGTTCGAGAAAGAACAAAGAAGAATTCCCGTCATCGACGTCGACTTACCTACGATTTCGTTCCGGATAGAAAAGTTTTATGGCTTCGTGCCGACCGCAAGACTAAAAGCAACCGAGGAGGGTGAAGTAAAAGGGGGTAGTAGTAGCAGGGGGTGGATGGATACTCGAGAAAACGATAGCTGAGCAAGTAAGAAAAGTAAGAAACGGAAAGCAGAAGGCATCGAGGATGAAGGCAAAAACGGGGAGGGGGTTGAGACAACGGGTAGAAATGATGGGGGATGGGGGTAAGGGGTTTGAGATTTGAGGTAGAAGAGAAACTCTACTATGGAAAGGGAATGGCTCGACCTGAATATTTTCACAAGGAACTTTTCTTTGAATACGCCATGCAACGGTGGCACGACGACACGAGCCCCCTTCGGCATACGAAACACCGTGGGTTTATACCGGTGAATCGGAAAGACGCTGCCGCCTCTCTGAGAAAGAATAGAGAAAAGGAGGTCACGTGCCGCCGTTTGACGACAACCGTCGGGAAGAATAAATTCCAAAGTTTTTAACCTTTTCGAAAAGAAAGCTATCGAGTATACACGCTGATCAACTAAACGTTGCATATATTTCTTTAACATCTTTCTCTTCTTTTTCTTCTTCTTCTTTTTATTATTATTTTCTTTTTTTTCTCGTTAGTAATCATTCGAAAATAGACGTCTCGCGTTTTATAGAAAAATCACGCTGATAGAATTAATTTTGATATTTCTTGTAATATCTTTTTCGTCGTGGAAAAACTTATAATTAAATTTGATGCATAATTTTAATGTAAAAATAAAAAATCGTTTAATCGATGTGTCGTCGTAGGTTTAACGTTTAAAAAGTACTTACGCGTATTGGTAAGAAAAATAAGAAGTTAAAAGTAAGCAACCGGGGAAAAATGATATTCAAAGTTAAAATGTAATCGGAACTTCTGTTACGTTTTTGTCTCGCATTGAAAACGCAAGGAGAACGAAAGAAAAGTTTGCGATAGCTGATCCTAAGAAAATCTCGTCGTCTTTTTTATTACTTGCTCGGAAAGGATCGTTAGAAGCGGTTAAGTATTCTCGCGAGATAGAATACTCCGCTTTTTATTATGAACTTTTCAACGAACGTATGATCGACGTTGACTATGAGCACGAATTCGAACTTAATAATATTTAAAAACTAACAAAATTATAAGAGAGTAAAAGAGAATGTGAGAGAAGGTAAAGAAAAATGTACAATTTTTTACGTGACCACCACGAATAAACCGAGAAATTATAGTTCGAATGATTAAACAAGAAAAACGGGTTTTAAATTTACGATGCAAAATGAATTTCAACGGGACTCCCTCCCCCTACATTCCGATTTTTAACGGACCGAACATAAAAAAAGTAAATACTGCGATTTCCTCTTCGGTATTTTTTTATACTAAACGAAACACGATTTGTGAAAATTCTCTCGGGAAAAATCATGTTACATCAATCGGAATTGTAATAAAACAATATTATCGAAACAATACTCGAGTTGTAAACAAAATTCCAATACGTTAAAAGCGAAAAGAAAAACAAATAATTATTCTCTATCAAAATTGGTGATTAAGCAATAAAGTTTTTAACCGCGAATACAAAAAGTGTCGAATACACGATGATTGAAATTAAAAAACAAAAAAAAAAGACAAAAAGGAAGTCAAACAAAGAATAAAAAGAAAACGCGATTTTTTTTCAATCCCATTCTATACGTGATTCGCGGTGAGTTTGTTAGTACATGCATATATATATATATATATACATAGATATATACATGCATGCATAGATACGGACCGATACCGTAAAATATTCGAAGGATTTTTCGAAAGAACGAATCTCGTCCACGTTGATGGTGATATTTTCGACCACCTAGATTTTTTCCCGTGAGATCATCCCGCAGAATTTTTCCATCGGATAAATAAATTCAACAATGAAAGTACCTCGGTGAAAACGTACGCTCAGGAACGGAATTTAAAAATTCAACGACGGGAAGAAAAAAAAAAAAAAGAAAAAAAAAGAAAATATGGAAGAAAAGGAAAAAAAAAGATCAATGCAATCGAAGAGTTTGTTCGTTGTTAGAAAAAGAAAAAGCCTTCCCTAGTCCTTCGATAAACGGCTGGCAGGCCATTTTCTTCGAGTAGTATCCCCGCGAATGACGACGTTTCTTCGGTAAATGCTTCGTAACTTGAACGAAATGGAAACTGAAATGAAACGGAAGCTTCGAATAGCAATCGAGTGAGCCGTCAATGGCAGGAATCTTTCCTATTCCCATTCTCACCCATATTCTGATTATTTATTCGCATTCTACCAGTATGGTGCTCAAACTTTTTTTTTCATCCCTTTTTATAAGCTAAAAAATAGACGAATATTAAAAGGGAAAACTGGTGGAGGAAGAAGGAAAGGAAGAACAAAATAATACCAAAAAAAAAAGGAAAAACAAATAATGAGAGAAGCTCAAAAGTAGCACCATTGAAAAGCCGTGAAGGGTCAATTATCGATTTTTCGATAAAGTGGAAAATTACATTGGTATACACAGTAAATATATATTTATATATATATGTGTGTGTATATATGTTGGGGAGGAATTGTTTTAATCTTCCGTTTCTCCTTCAAAGCCTCTCAAGCTTCGGCTTGTTATCAGTACGGAACAGAACGTCTTACGTTTACTCATCACAATCCTACAATTAACTCGAAATACTCTTATTAGAGAATATAGAATACCTAACACAAAGAAAAATATAAGTGGGATAAACTTGTAAAAGATAACTTATTAACAATCGAATCTTAAGTATACTAAATTATTAAAAAATTCAGTCAGTGTGTAATATTTTTAACAAAAAAATATAATTAAATATAACATCTTAGACAATATATTTATCATTAACATAAACATATTTGTACACACAATTTTCATTAAAACGTATACAAAATATTATATTCCTTTCTTGTATTTTTTTTTCATTTGTCATAAATGTATCGGGAAAAAGAAAAACTTATAAAAACGTTTCAGAAAAACAAAGTATTAATGTAAAATAAATAGAATAATGCAAAAGAACGTACCGTTTAGCACGTGGACAGATACGACAGTGACCGCGGCAACGTCGGCCAATGCGCAACTATAGTTCCCACTGTCTTTTTTATTCGCATTGGCAATGTAGAGCCTTGAAACAGCTCCGGCCGATCCCATGTCGGTTTTCACACTGAAACAGAAAAGCAGAAAGCACGTAGTAACGTCTTCTAAGGAATTCCTTATCGTTCCGAGTGAACGTGAGTGAACGTGCGAAGAAAAACTCTTACATATATGTTATACATACGCGTGTATGTGTATGTGTATGTGTGTTGTTCATTCAGTGAATAAGAAGGAGTATAAGGATACAGGGTGAACATAGAAGAGATAGAAAGATAGAAAAAGAGAGAGAGAGAGAGAGAGAAGGATATAAAGAGAGACGTGGTAAAAGGGAAAGAGGGCGTAAATCAAGTTGCCCTTTTCCTCTCGATTCTGTCGTCGACGGATCGACCATTTCTCAAGAGTCTACTTCTCTCTCTCTCTTTCTCTTTTTTTTCTCAGCCTTTTTCCTTTTACTTTTGCACAACTCGAACTATAGGACAAGAAAAAAAAAGAAAAAAAAGGAAGGAAGAAGCGAAATAAAAGAGGAAAAGTTTTAGGGGAATCACGTGCGAGACTCGTGTTATGATCCTAGGATTTCTATTTTTGTTACAAAAAAATATCACGATATCGTGTATCCGATTTTTATCTTCATTTATAAAATATAAATGATTTATATTTTATATATATATATATAAAATAACAAGCGTGCATGAATTTTACTTTTGCACGATCAGTAATTTAAAATAAACCAAAAAAAAACAACCTTAACATTTTGCAAAGAGAAATATTATCGTTATTAAGATTATAGAATATTTATTTGAATAAATTACAAGTCTATAATTTGCATTCCTTTAATAACAAAACATTTTATTTCAATTAAATATTTACCACTATTTTACCTTGAATTTTAGAATAATGAAAATGATTACTATACTCGTATTGATATTGATCAAAAATAACTCGAAAAGAGTAACGATAAAACGAATAGTTCAAATCGATGATAAATCATCTTTGTTAGTTTCATTTATGGTTAAAAAACTCTGAAGGATATTAAATGTAAAAAAAAAGAGAAAGAGAGAAAGAGAGAGACAAAGAGAGAAGTTATAAAAAAAGAAATTCTTCTTATAATCCTTTGCACGATAAACGTTCGCCAATGAAAACTCGCGCGAGCACTTGCATTGAGGTTAGAAGGAATAGAGAAGAGACCATTAAGCAAGAACTACGGCAAAAGTCCGTTTGGATATGATGCGGAAGGAAAGCGTATTTTAAGGACCGTGAGAGCTAAGGCTAAGGAGGTCGGCAAAAGGATGATACCCAGAATGCTGGAGGCTATATGCAAGAGAGAGAGAGAGAGAGAGAGAGAGAGAGAGAAAAGGAAGAATGAGGAAGAGAAGGAAAATGAGGCTGCTGTCGGTGGATTCCTCACGTTGGACTGGTTTAAGAATTCATTCGGATTGCCGAGATGCCAGGACTCATCCTGAGCCACAGGATGAGTCCTGGTCTCGGTTCTCCTCATCCTTCGACTCTTGATGGAACCCTTTGAGAATAACGCATCAAGAACTTCAGCACTCTTATCTAACGCGAGTAATGCCACATACTGCAAAAGATACCATAAGAGCGTTAAAAGCACTTGTTGCCAACCCCCTTTATCGTTGCTCCTATATTTTTCCCACTCTCTCTCTCTCTCTCTCTCTCTCTCTCTCTCTCTGTCTCTCTCTGTGTCTCTCTGTTTAACCTCAACTGGTCTGATAAAAAAATCTTCTTTTATCGAAAGTGGGGAAAAAAAAGATCCATTAATCCTATAGTTAAAATATTTGTCGTTATGATGGATCGCAAAATGAAATCTAAAAAAAAAAAAAAAGAAAAGGAGAAGAAAAAAATCGATGGAAATCATTAAAATTTCTCAATGTTCCACGCTCGAGGAATATTAACTTTATCTACAATGCGTATCTTTGTTATTGATATTCTTGTTGCGAAGAGATGATTGTAAAAAGATAGAAAAAAAAAAAAAAAAAAGAACAAGATAAAAATGCTAAATAGAGAACGAGAGAAAGAAATTAAGTTAATAGGGTAGACGCGCGTCGTATAAAACTTCAAAATGACATGACAACGATAGATGTCACGGTAACGCGTATTATACAGCGTTGAAATTATTGGACAACTGTGGGGTTGGCTGGCCATCGACGAAATCTGTCGATGCGATATTTCACCAGGAGGAAACTCAAAATCGCGGAAAGGGAAGATAACAGTCGAACTAACGGGCTACTCGATATAACACTTCTCTCTCTCTCTCTCTCTCTTTTTTTCTCTTTTAGTATAGGTTCACAAATATAACGATATTTACATTGACATTTTGTGTTCACATCACACGGACAAAAGCTTTGGTGGAAACAGCCGGGTGTCTGCCTGTGTCTCTTTCTGTGTGTGTGTGTGTGTAGTCTGAGTACTCCGCGGGAAAAGCACGCGACATCGAGCCGCGTCACATTGCGACTCCAGCCAAAATTTCCTGACGATTGGCATCCCTGCGACAGGTACGCGCGTATACACATACACACGTATCTATATACGTAACGTCGCTTGCCATTTCGAACCAACGAACATTGCCATCACCCTTTCATTTTGTCTCACTTTCTCTCTCACTCTCTCTATCTCTCTCTCTCTCTCTCTCTCTCTCCCATATACGCATTCTCATCATCCTTTTCTCGCGCTTATTGGACACATTTACCGCATTGTACCGCAACCGTGCACCGCACATAACCACCCCTTCTACTCTTTTACTCTCTGTCTCTCTCTCTCTCTCTCTCATCCAGCAAACATTCGTAACCGCGAGAATTTTATACGAATAGCTGCCTGGCCTGCCTTATCCAGAAGCCACAGTAGCTTCTCCCGTATGTTTCATGCAATTTAAACTGGCGCGACCTTTTGTAAAAGAAAATTCATAGTTTTCTACCACATCAGGATTAATATTTTTCAAAGAATTTTGAAAGATACAAATGGATAATACTTATCCACATATATTTTCTATTTCTAGAAGAAAAGAAAAAAAACAAAAAAGATATATTAATTTGTTTTTTTTTTTTCACATAAGTGAAATTTTAATTTCTTTTCCCCGTTTCACATCAACACGTAATAATATTCTTCATTTAAATGAAAGTGTAATCGTTCTATAAACTGTATGAAGAAAATTCTAAATAATTTGCTTAAATGAAATTTCATTATTAGGAAAATGTATTAGCTTTCGAAGTAAAATGCGTAATAGATAAATTACGGGCTTTATGAATTTGCCATTCGCTAAATTTGGATTGAAGTTCAAAACACTAACAGAGATAAGAAGAAAAGGGAGAGGGTGACGAAAGGAAAGGAAAGGAAAGGAAAGGAATTGGGATGGGAAAGAGATTAAGAGAGTATTTCGACTTCGTTTCGTTGAGAAGAGCTTATTCGTACACAATTTCCTGTCGTCTTCGTGGAAACTAAAGGGAAACTTCACGGTCCTCCTATTAATCCGACCAAGTTAGATTTTGAATTTCGCGACATTTAATGCACCGAGCTTCCACGGAGTTTATTAGGCTTCGAACTTAACTTTCAATTGTTAATTGTGTGTCTGCTCTCGTGCCGTCATCTCTCTAGTTCAATTCTTTCACATTTTTATTTCAAAACGTGCCTCACTATCTATCAAATACAAATATGTAAACTCGTTGAAATCTTTGCTCGCTAGGGAAAATAGGGAAAAATTCTATTTGCAGGTATAAGAAGATAAAATAGAAATAGTTTTCCTTTGATCACGATATACAACACGAGAGAGAGAGAGAGAGAGAGATGTAGACGACCCTTCCAAAAGGTACCTTGATCACGAGAAATAATATTAAAAAAACGAGCTCAAAGAAATCAAATGAAAGCATTAATATAGAAATTCAATACTACAAACAAGATACTATTATTATTATTATTATTATTATTATTATTATTATTATTATTATTATTAAAACATTAAATCCTATTCTTTCGATAAGATAACAAAGCGGGACGTAATAACGAGACAAAAGACCTTACTTCGAATAAAATCTACAATTTGTGATCGTCAAAAAATGTACGAGCAAAGAATAGAAAGAAAGAGAGAGAGAGAGAGAGAGAGAGAGAGAAATAAAAAAGAAACGAAAAAATATATAAGAAGAATAAATAAAAAAAAAAAATAAAAAATATAGGGACAGGGATGAAATGAGAGGGAAAGAAAAAAAGAAAAAAAGGAAATTAGATCGAGAAACGAAATAAATGAATTTTCATTTCGCGACAATCAAAAAAGAGACAGGCAACTCCTCTTTAACCTCCGCAACATTGTTCGAAGGCCGTAGGCAATTAGTGACACTCGTACTCTCTTAATGACATTCCCACGTCGATCCAAACTCGCCTTGGTTTTATCCATTTATCCGGTTCGCGTTCCAACAGTTCTTCGAGAAAGCAGAACGTCCGATATTCTCTTCTCCTAGAACTCTTTCCTTTCACCACCCCTTAATCTCCCACTCAACTCCACCCGATCCCCTCTCTTCCCTCCTATCACTCGTATTCTTTCTCTCAACTTTAGCTTCCTCTTTCTTTCGGCATCATCGTTTTATATTCGCAAGAATTTAATTTCAAGCATTACCCTCAACTACTTCTCTATTTTTCTTTGAGAAAGTATATTTGTATACGTGTAAATGTATGTGTGTGTGTGTGTGTGTATTTTTGTGTTTGTATGTATGCGTCTGATCAAGAAAGACAGAACAAATCAATGGATATCGAACGCCAAAGTGCATCCTTATAACAAATTATTCGTTCGATGCTTCCGGATATTTATTGATATTCTATCTCTTTCTTATTCTACGCTTTATCCATCTCCCATCAATTTCTCTCTAATTTCGTTTTTTTTCCTTTTTTCTTTTTTTTTTTCTATTTCTCCGCGTTTTATCCTCGTTCCATTTCTTTACTTTACTCTAAAGAGGCTACAGATCCCATTTCACCCTTCACAATTCAACGAGACTTTACTCATGTATTCACAACTGTAAACGTTTTATTGGAATGCCAGTTAAGTGACACTTTGAAAAACGCTTAACTGAA